ATATTAATACTATATGGTATTAATCTACTCACCAAGACTTTACTACAAAAGAAGTTTGTCAAACACTATCTCAATTACCAAACAACAAAGTATATAGACCATCAGATATCAGCTATGAGATGCTTAAACATTCCAGACCAGATTTTGTTCAAGCTAGTACATCTCTTTTCAATCAATGCCTAGCAACTAACCAAATATCTAAACAATGTAAAGAAGAAAAAATTTTTCCAATATCCAAAAAAACTTATAAGTCTTTTAGAACAAATTAAAAAACTTTATACTATACTCTTAACAAACCATCTAAATAGCATCTTCACCCAATACCATATCCTTTTACTATATATCTATATTGCTCTACCTAGTAATAGTTTAACTATCCCTATTCTCATCCTCAATAATATTATTGAAGAAGCTTCTTGCAACTACAAGCAGCTTTGGCTTATATCTCAAGATATAAGCAAAGTATATGATTCTGTCAACTTAGAACTATTTTAAAGATTTCTTATACATATTACAGTTATGAATTTTACAAAATTAGGAAATCATATTCTAGAATGATCTCTGTGTTATTCTGTGAATTTGATTAGCTGTGTAATATTTTTTATCAACATGAGATCATTTGATATTTTATTTTTTATTCAATATAAAATAATATACAATTAGCTAATATAAGATGTCTACTTTAAATGATCCCACTTGATCTCTCACAATAAGCCATTATAAAAAAGGCAAATGATAACAAACTTCTTTTTATTAATAAGTAAATTTTATTATAGTTAAATTTGATTGATCAATTACACATGATTTTTGTACAACCAAATGATCTAAAATTATGTGATCAATATTTCTTTATTATACAAGGTGCGATCTATACTGTCCATATTTGGCAAAATCACTAACTGTATTAACATGCCTTTTAAACACATATATATTCTTACCAAACTAGTAACTAACTGCTACAATAGAGTGATTACAAAGCTAGGACTTACAAATACTTACTTTGTCAAAAATAGAATTGACCAAGGAGAGATGCATCAAGAAAAATTTTTTGGTACAGATATGTGATAACCTGTAAAAGTGCAGATAATTGAGATAGTGTTTGACAAACTTCTTTTGTAGTAAAGTCTTGGTGAGTAGATTAATACCATATAGTATTAATAT